AATCTTTAAAAAAAAATAAATAAAAAAAAATAAAAACTATAAAACATTCATGAAAGAAACTAAAGACGACATAAGGAAATGGAAAAACAATCCATATTCATGGATTGGAAGAAAAAATGTTGTTAAAATGTCTATACGACCCAAAGCAATCTACAAATTTAAAGCAATCCCTATCAAAATACCAACAGTATTTTTCACAGAGCTAGAACAAACAATCCTAAAATGTGTATGGAGCTCAAATAGCCAAATCATCTTGAAAAGGATAGCAAAGCTGGAGGCATCACAATTCTGGACTTTAAGTTAGATTACAAAACTCTCTGGGAGGGGCGCCTGGGTGGCTCAATGGGTTAAAGCCTCTGCCTTTGGCTCAGGTCATGATCCCAGGGTCCTGGGATAGAGCCCTGCATCGCATCAGGCTCTCTGCTCAGTGGGGAGCCTGCTTCTCCTCTTCTGTCTCTGCCTGCCTCTCTGCCTACTTGTGATCTCTGTCTGACAAATAAATAAATAAATAAATCTTTAAAAACAAAACAAAACTGTGAATGCCTAGGTGACTGGAATTTATGGGGTAGGATCAAGAAAATAGTTCTCTGCAAAGAAAGAGTCCCAGAACTATGCATAGGCATCTTCTTAAAATCTTAATACTAAGGGATGCATGTACAGGGAGACTCTACATAACCTAACAGAGAACAACTGCTGGAGAGCTGTGAGCCGAACAGTGATTCTAGAAGTTACACAGTGCTGGGAAACAGGAAATTCAAAACACGCAGAGTGGATAAACACTTCTGCACACCCTCATAGTTGGCTGATACCCTAGAAAGTCAACATTTTAAGTGTAGGGCTATGTTAGACCTAAAGGAAAGGCTACTCTAAAGCTACCGGAAGAAAGCTTCAAAGTAGGCCTTGAAAGGATCAAACTGATTTACCAGAAAATTTACCAGCCACTATAAAGAAAATCAATATTCTTTAAAGTAAGATAACAAATTCCAAGCTCTCAACAACATAGTATCTATGATGTATAATATACAATAAAAAATGGCTAGGCATTCAAAAAAGCTGGCAAATGTGATCCTTAAGCAGGAAAAAGGCAACCAGTAGAAACAGAACTTGAGATTACCCAGATATTAGAATTAGAAGGCAGTATAAATATGTTTATTAACTTAATGGAAAATATGGTCATAATGATTAAATGGACAATGACGAGAGACAAACTCTCTAGAGGCTAGATACACAAAGGAAGCCATTTTAGATTTCTTTCTAAGTCAGCATGACTGTATATAAACTTTGTTCAAACCAAAAACCTGATTTATGGTCTGTCATGCTTGCATTGTACATCTGCTTTGTGAATGAGTAACTAAAGGAAAACCATCTTCTCCTTGAGATACTTATTGATAAATGTTCCTAGTCCCTGCATTTCTTGACTTTAAAATTTATGATTTCTGCCTATATGGTAATTATAATCTTGTGAGCTTTTACAAGATGTGAAAAACTATATAACCCTGTAAAAACTGTTCATTCTCTGGAGCACTATCTTTGCTGTGAAGAGCACGAAAAAACATTTCCTGGGCAGCTGTCCTAACCTGGGGTCAAATAAAACTCTCTTAGAGATTCCAAAAGGTTTGTTCATTTTGCATCAACAATAGGAACTCTAGCAGAAAAACAGAATGTATAAAATAGAACTAAAAATGGAAGTTTTATGGGGCACCTGAGTGGCTCAGTCAGTTAAGCACCTGGCTCTTGGTTTCAATCCAGGTCATGATTTCAGGGTCCTGGGATAGAGCTTTTATGGGCTCCCCACTCAGTGGGAGTCTGCTTATCCCTCTTCCTCTGCCCTGCCTCCCACTTGCACTCTCTCTCTCTCAAATAAATAAATAAATCTTAAAAAAAGAAAATGAAAGTTTTATAGCAGAATAAACTGAAATGAAAATTTCACTGAATGAGCATAAGAAGAGACGGGAGACATCAGAAGAAATAGCCGGTAATCACCATGATAGATCAATAATAATCCAATCCGAAGTACTTTAAAAATGAAAAAGACTGAAAAAACAAACAGAGGCACTTATGAAACAAGACTTATAACTAAAGTTCTAGAATGAGAGGAGTAACAGAATGTGGTAGAACAAAAATTATGACCAAAACTACCAAAATTCAACAAACAGAAAATCTTATAATCAGATAGAGAAAAACAATACATAAAATATTGGAGACCAAAAGTATGAATAATGCTGACTTTTAATTAGAAACAACGATAGCAAAAAGACAATGGAATAACATCTTCAAAGAATTAAAGAAGGGGCGCCTGAGTGGCTCAGTGGGTTAAAGCCTCTGCCTTCATTCAGCTCAGGTCATAATCTCAGGGTCCTGGGATCGAGCCCTGCATCGGGCTCCCTGCTCAGTGGGGAGCCTGCTTCCCTCTCTCTCTCTCTCTCTCTGCCTGCTCTCTGCCTGCTTGTGATCTCTGTCTGTCAAATTAAAAAAAAAAAAAAGAATTAAAGAAAAACATGTCAATTCAGAATTCTGTTTCCAGAGAAAATATGCTTTTAAAATGAAGATGAGACAAACGATAAGAGACTCTTAATCTCATGAAACAAACTGAGGGTTGCTGGGGGGTGGGGAGGTAGGGATAGGGTGGCTGGGTGATGGACATTGGGGAGGGTGTGGACTATGGTGAGTGCTGTGAAATGTGTAAGCCTGATGATTCACAGACCTGTAGCCCTTGGGCAAATAATACAGTATATGTTAATAAAAAATTAAAATGAAGATGAAATAAAGATATTTTCAGATAAATTAAAATTTAGATTATAACTAGCAGAACAGCAGTTTAGAAAATAGTAAAGGAAGTTCTTCAGGTTGAAGAGAATTGTCTTTAGATGAAAATATAGGAAGGAGGGGCACCTGGGTGGCTCAGTGGGTTGGGGCCTCTGCCTTCGGCTCAGGTCATGATCTCAGAGTCCTGGGATCGAGCCCTGCATCGGGTTCTCTGCTCAGCAGGGAGCCTGCTTCCCCCTCTCTCCCTGCCTGCCTCTCTGCCTACTTGTGATCTATCTCTCTGTCAAATAAATAAATAAAATCTTAAAAAGAAAAGAATAAGAAGTGTAAATGAAATGATACTGTTTACAAGGTTCTTATACTTTACACAGAGTGGTACAATATTAATTCTAAGTAAGCTATATTTAATAAGGATGCATATTTTAAGCCCTATAGCAACCTCTAACAAGATGCATAAGGTATAGTAAAGATCCAACAGAAAAATTCAAATATACCAGAAAAAATTAATCAGTTCTCCAAAAAAGAGAGGAAAGGATAGTTAATTTTAAAAATGTGGCAAATAGAAATCAACCAAATAGTAAATATAAATCCAATCAAATTAATAATTACATAAATATAAATGGATAAGTATTTCAATGAAAAACCAGAGACGATCATACTGGATAAAAAATGTGAAACTCAAATCACATGGTATCTACCAGAAACATATTTTAAATATAAAATCACAGCTAGATGCAAGGAAAAAAAATGGAAAAAGATATACCAGCCAAGCAGTAAGCATAGGAAAACTAAAGTGACTATACTAATACTAGACAAAATAAACATTAAGATGAGACATAAAGAAATGTTTCATAATAGAAGGATCAATTCATTGGGAAGACACACAATCATAAATGTGACTATACTATATAATAGAGCTTCAAAATACACGAAGCAAAAACTGAACCAACTCAAGGGAGAAATTGACAAATCTAAAATTGTAGTTTTCATGTATCTCCTACTTCAGATATATTCTCCTATTTGCAAAATGAGAATAAGATTGGCCTTGACATTTTCAAATAATTTCTAATTTTTATATTCTTTTTTTAAAAGTTTTATATTCTTGAGAGAAGAACAAATTCTTCCATCTATTAACTACTGTATCAAAATATTTGAGATGGGGAGGATGCTGCAGTAGTAGATAAATCCTAGTGGGCTTATCCCATTCCTTTCCTGAATGAACCCAGGACATGACAAATTCAATGATTACTCACCTGAGCTTTCTTCTGAAGATACTCTTCCTAATGTTCACTTTTCAATCCTCTTCATCAGGAAGACAAAAACATTATAATATGCACTTTGTAACAGAGCTTGATAATACCTGAAACAAAACCCGATGGAACTAAAGGGAAAACAGAAATAAACACATTTTTCTCATACCTCTAATTACTAGATTTTTAAAAATCAGTAAGAATAAAGGACATCTGAATGACAACTCATTAGTTCCCCCTTACTCTCAGAGGGCACTTTTCAAGACCCAAAGGGGATCCCTGGAAGGGTAGATAGTACTGAACCCCATATATACTGTTTTTTTTTTCTATACATACATACCTATAATAAAGTTTAATTTATAAATTAGGGACAGTAAGAGGTTAACAGAAATAATAATGAAATATAACAATTATAACTATGTTGTATGTTGCAAAGCTTTTGCAATATAACAAAAGTTATGTGAATGTGTTCTCTTTCCCAAAATATCTTATTTGACCTACTCACCTTGTGATGTGAGATGATAAAATGCCTAATAATGCGAGGAAGTGAGGTGAATGATGTACACATTGTGACACAGCATTAGGCTACTGTCGATCTTCTCCCCAAACGAGGAGTGTCTGCTTGGGATGGCCTTTGAGGGCTGGGAACTGAAACTGAGGAAAGAGAAATGGCCGATAAGCGGGGGGAGGGCAACTTTATCGATCACCTTAACCCAACAGAATTTATAGAACAATTTGTTCACAACTGCCAAGAAGGAGAAAAAAACCGAGAAGAGGAAGAAAGGGAAGGAGAGAGCTCGAGCAAGCACGAGCTATCTTCCTGTGTCGTCCGCTCCCCGTTCTGATACGGTTTGAGGATATTTTTATTCAGAACTTGACATATATCCACATCCTACTTGGGCATATATACTGAGCACCTGCTGTGCGCCTAGTAGGTACATTATGTGTTTGCTGGTGTTAAGACTTCTTTCTAAAACATACCAGTGCTTCTGCGACAAGCACTACAAGCTCCCAGAACGCGCTTCCTGGTCCCCGGCATCCCTGAAACACCTACCCTGGTAGCCCACCCTCAAGCCCCAAGGGTTTCCCAGCTATCTCCTCAGCAACAGCTAGCACCCGCGCTTGCGCACTTCGCTCAGCAATTTGGGGCGGGGCGGGCCCTCCCTACCGAAGACTACATTTCCCACAGGCCTCAGCTCCTTGTTGCCTTCCGGCTTTCTAGCTGCTGTCGGCTCGGAGAGGTGAGTTGGTCGCGTGCATTGAGGAAACGGGCGCGGGGGCGGCGCGGGGGCGGTGCGGGCCTCTGTGTGAACCGGGTTGTACTGAGTTGTGGAATTTGAGACGCTGACTGGGCATCGGGTACCCTGAGGCGTCCTTTCCCTTTCCGCGTAAGGGCTGCACATATCCCTCGGCCCAGAATGGCTCCGAGTTAGATGTATGAACCCCAGAGTGAAGGCCCCCAACAAAAAGACGCGGTCTTGAGAATTGCAGCTCTGAGAACCACAGCTTAATCAGAGCTCCCTCGTAAGGAAACTACCATGACTTCGGAGACAGATTCCAGACTTGGCCTTTGTACTCGGCCTTTCTCTGATACCGAGAAGGCTGAGCTTAACCTCGGACTCCCTCTTAGTTCCATCGGGTTCTGTGCGTGGTGGCTGGTGGGAGCAAGTGTGATAGCGGGGGTGTGTTTTGAGTTAGCCAAGGCGGGCTGAGTTCCAAGAAAGGCTTAATGTCTCAGGATTCCCGTGTCTTTTCCCCAATCCTGCCGGTCTTCAGGAAGGAGCGAGAAAAGAGAAGATAACCATTTGTATGTCTATATCCTTTGTTCGTGAAATGTAACTTTTTTTTTTTTTTTCTGGACATGGAAACCTTTGCATCTCCTGGGAAAGAATGAAAAATGCGTGCGGACTGAAAAGAGAAAAAACAGCCCTTGCATTAATCCGGCTGGGAGAGAAGAGACAGATAAAGCCAGCTGCAGAATTAATAGAAAGTTATTATTCATGCAGCAGTTGTAAAATGCTATAACAACTCCCTTTTTGAGAGATTACAGCTGTTTTACCAATGATGCTCCAGACTTGCTTTGCCATTTTTTATTTTATTGCTGGAGATACCCAGTTGCTAAACTGCTCTCCCTTCCAGATAATACTTAATCACCAATTAATCTCTGCCTTCTCTAGTCTCACCACAGAAAACAGGAACCATTCCGGAATTGTTCCCTACTTCCCATACATCCTTCAAAATCCTTCCGTAGGAATTCAGCCCTTTACATAAGATCTTTTCTTCTCCTCCTCCATTGCATTCCAACCCTTCCTATGGAATTTCCTCCTTCTCTTAAGTCAATAAATCTGATTTTGTTGGACTGTACAAGCTTGTTCCAGGTGGTCTTTTGCTAGTTAGGTTTTAACGCTGGAAATATCCTATCCATAGACATGGTACTTTGCTCTTCTTTCCCAGTGAATGCTAGGGGCGATCTGGTTACTCCTGCCTCCTCTCCAGTGGGTATTCCCATGAACCTTTGGCAGTCATATAATTCCTTCTGTGAGCTGTTTCTTTCAAATCGTCTAAATGGCTAGCAAGTAAACCTCCTGAAGGGAGGCCAACTGCAGGGCTTTATTTTAGGCTTTGATTTGTTGAGAGGATCACAGTTTAGTTGGAATCATATGCTAAATGTCTTTGATCTTTACCACTGTCCTGAATTCAAAAGCAGGCAAAGGTAGGAGATAGTTCGATTGGTGACAGGGTTTTCTGCTTTTGAGGCTTTTAAGAAGTTGTAATGTGACAGGGTTTTTAATGGAGAGGTCTGTGTTAACGAGGGAAGGGAATGGAAGATGTTAGTAGAAATTTGAGAAATGGTTTGAAGTTTTTGACAGCATGAGTGGTCTTATATTTATGTGGTTTTAGGAGAGGCAGTTGAGTTGTGGAGCTAAATTACCAGTGTCGTAGTCCTAAAACTGCCACTTAGAGCTAGGTGGAATTGGGGTAATTTATTTCATCTTTTTGTGCCACAGTTTCTTCATCTGTGAAAGGATAATGATAGAAACTGCCGTATAGGATTGCTATGAAAAGATGAATTAATTATATATGAAGTCCTCAGAGAGTGCTTGACACATAATAAGTGCTCAGTAGATTTAATTGTTACTATTATGTTGTAATTCCATCTTTTTTCTCATCACCCAGATCCAAAAATTGTATTTTCCCACTTTGGCTTCATCCATCCTTGAACCCCCTTTTGTAAATTGTTGTTAATCAGGAGGAGTTGCTTATCAATGTGAAGTTTGAAATTTATTAGCTAGCATTCTAAGAGCAGGGCTGAGAAGCTCAAGTTTTTTATGGAAAATGTATGTAGTATTCTTCATTTTCAGTGATATAACTGACTTTTATTTACTGTTTATTTGCTATTTTAAGTGATTTATTATATGTGAGGTCTTATTTAATCCTCATAACAGCCTTTTGAGTTAGAATCTATAATTATCACCATTTTTTTATGGGAGGTGACTAAGGTTGGAAAGTTAAGTGACATGTCCAGAATCATAGTTAATAACTGTCAGAGCTAAGATTTGTATCCTGAAAGTGGTACACAAAAGCCTGTATCAGTAATTAATTATAACAGTATGCCAAGTCTCATCATTATGTATACTTTAAAAAAAATTCCTCTTGATTTACTCAGTAACCTATTATGATAGAAGGAAGAGATATTAATCTGATGACAGCAAGTACTATCAAGTTATGTCCATATTATACTGAAGCTATGGGGTCTGGAGGTAATGGATTACATACAGTAAGATTTATGTCTCATAGGTTTTCTGTGTGGGTGTGTTTTGTTTTTTTTTTTTTTAAGATTTTATTTATTTATTTGTCAGAAAGAGAGCGAGAGAAAGCAACACAAGCAGGCAGAGAGGCAGGCAGAGGCAGAGAGAGAGGCAGGCTTCCCACTGAGCAAGGAACCCGATGCGGGACTCGATCCCAGGAATCTGGGATCATGACCTGAGCCGAAGGCAGCAGCTTAACCCACTGAGCCACCCAGGCGTCCCGTGGGTGTGTTTTTTAAAAATTTTATTTTAATTCCAGTATCGTTAACAATGTCTCACAGTTTTTATTTGAATGGTATTTTATGCAAAGTGAGATTAGTAAAACAAAGAGATCCAGCAGATCCAACTGGAAGCTTCATAGGCATCTTAGCCTAAAGCATCAGCTCAGAAATAAAATAAATTTATTTCTCAGTAAAATGTGAAAGGAAGCAGCCATGAGATTGCTGTTGTTACTTAAAAGGCATTAGTCAAGGATTTTTTATCATTCATTTCTAGATAGAACTCCAGCTTGGTTCATGAATTAGAAGGTGAAGTAAATTAAAAAGAAAAAGAAAAGTCCCTCGAGGCCCATGGGGGCTCAGTCAGTTAAGTGTCTGCCCTAGGCTCAGGTCCCAGGGTGGTAGAATTGAGCCCTGAGTCAGGCTCTCCACTTAGCAGGGAGCCTGCTTCTCCCTCTCCCTCTGCCTGCTGCTCCCCATGCTTATGCTTTTGCTCTATGTCAAATAAATATACAAAATCTTTTTTTTTTTTAAGATTTTATTTATTTATTTGACAGAGATCACAAGTAGGTGGGGGGGTGGGCGGCGGGGGAGCAGGCTCCCTGCTGAGCAGGAAACCTGATTTGGGGCTCGATTCCAGGAACCTGGGATCATGACCTGAGCCGAAGGCAGAGGCTTTAACCCACTGAGCCACCCAGGCGCCCCCAAAATATAAAATCTTAAAAAAAAAAAAAAGAGAAAGAAAGGTCACCCAGGAAAAACAACAGCTGTTCTTAGAGTATCCTGGGCTTTTTTCTCAGTTCAACAGAAGACTTAAAACCTTGAAATGGGGAAATTTTTGCCTTATTTTGAGTATTTGTGTATGTCAGGGTCACACTGTGTTTAATATGGTGGTGAGTGTTGCTGGCTATTCCTGTAAACATTTTAACTAATCTTTCTAGGTGTACATGTGATTTTTTTTTTTCTGTTACAAGAACTTAATGCCACACGTGTTGGGATTTATTTATTTATTTATATTTTTATTTATTTAATTCTTTTTTTTTTTTTAAGTGGAGCCCAACTAGGGGCTCAAACTTATGACCCTGAGATCAAGACCCGAGCTGAGATCAAGACCCGAGCTAAGATCAAGAGTCTGACGCTTAACCAACTGAGCCACCCAGGCACCCCATGGGATTTTTTTTTTTTTTTAAACACAGTGGCTTTACCCATTTTATCAAAATTAGGGCAATGTCATCACTTTTTTTATTTTACCTCATCACCTTTTAATATGTGCCTGGTTTTCAGTACTATAGATGCAATACTATTTAACCATTTCCTAGATTAGATTCTTTTCAGCCTTTATTCACTGTAAACCATACCTGTCTGCATACCTCTGCAGACATCTTTATATACGTGTGCAAATAGTTCCTTTAGTCTTAGAAGTGGAGTTCTGGGAACTGGTTCTTAGGGTTTATAGGGTTATAATGTTTAAATGCTGCTTCACATAGTTATAAATTTGGACCAACACTGTGTCCATTTCCTCATGACCTTACTGCTCTGGGACATCATCAGTCTTTTAGATCTCCCAGTCCCGTCACTGTAAAAGTATAATTTTTGTGTGTGGTTTATACACATCTCCTTAATTAGTAGTGAGGCTTAGTATCTTTTGAAAGATTCTTTTTTTTTCTTTTTTCTTTTTTTTTTAAGTGATTTGCCCTTGCTCAGGTTCTTCTCAGTGAAGTAGAAATCTAGTCTTCAGAGACAAAAACCAAAGTTGAAAGATGACTTTATAGTTAGAGAAATGTGAACTCAGAACAAAGCTTTGCCACTTCATAACTGTGAATTTGGGCAAATGATTTCACCCCTGAGCATCGGTTTCCTGATCCGTTGAGAGATGACAAGAAATACATAGAGCAATGCTGAGGGTCGCGGGGTGATGTACGTAAAGCACCTATCATGTAACAGTTCTCTATGAATGTTTGACTAGCTGTGGTGCTCATGGTATGAGAGGAGAGAGGTGCAAAGGATGTCATGGTATGAGAGGTTCTGATTGGGAAACAGAGTAATGAGTTGTTTGGGGTGGGGAAAGGCCCATGGCAGCCACTGCTAGGCTCAGTCTATGTGGTTTTCAGGCTTTGTATTTAGGAAGTTCAGGCAGGATCCTGGGGGCTCGAGAGACGGTATATAGGTGGTATGGCCCTTTCTCAGCCCTGAAAAGTTGTACTGGAGGAAGGAGGAGTCCGTCATCAGGACCAGATATATATTGCCAGATGGGGAATCCTTCTCCAAAGTATTCAGGCTTTTGTTCAGCTGTATTTCCTCAAAGCTTGGATTTCTTCAGACATCTCCTCTAGTTTTTATGAGTATTGCATCAGGGTGGTGGGTATAGTGGTGGAGAATAGTTAAGAAGTGGGAAGGCAAAAGAAAAAAACTCTAACGTAAGTCATTTTGGGATCTGAGTTACATTTGGTTTCATGGTCTCTTTTTTTCTTTCAGATCTGGCTTATCAGGGCTTTGCAGTTCCCCAACAGAGAAATCTTGAAAAGGACTGACCAGCATTTTGAAACCATGGCCCATGTAAGTTGATGTTCTTTTCTCCTTTTTGAAATGTTGTTGATCTCTAGGTTATGTGTACATACTCATTCCCTTAACTTGAACTCTGCCCAGGAACTTGCTTTGGTAACTCTAAGTCCTATGAGGGTTGGAGACAAATAGCCCAGTGTCCTTTCTAGGTGCCCTTCCCTCTTCTCCACAAATGTGGACCGCCTCCAAGCTCCAAAGTCTTCTGTCAAGAGCCATGAGGGAGCGAAAGTGAAATGCCTTGAGAAAAATGCAGGCATTTTCTGCAGAATGACCCCTTGCTAACATTTTCCAATAGAACAGCTTTTGATTTTAATATTTAAATTTCAGAGAGAGTATGTTTCTCTGAGCACAGTGATTTTTTTTTTTAAAGATTTTATTTATTTATTTGACAGACAGAGATCACAAGTAGGCAGAGAAGTAGGCAGAGAGAGAGGAAGAGAAGCAGGCTTCCCGCTGAGCGGAGAGCCCGATGCAGGGCTCAATCCCAGGACCAAGGAATCATGACCTGAGCTGAAGGCAGAATCTTTTTAACCCACTGAGCCACCCATGTGCCCCTGAACACAGTGATTTTTAGTCTAGTTTTATGTAGGAAATATTTGTGTCTCCAGTAGACAATTTAACATCTTTTCAAAGTTTTTGAGCTTTTTATTGACACATAACACACATAGAGAAAAGTACACGAGTCCTAAGTGTGTAGCTGAATGAATTTTCATGAATTGAGCATATCTGTGCTGTCAGTACTCAGGTCAAGAAAAGAATATTGCTAGTACCTAAGATGCCCCCTTTTCAATCACTCCCTGCCCACCCAGCCCAGATATAACCACTATCCTGACTTCTTTTTGTTTGTTTGTTTACGATTTTATTTATTTGAGAGAGTGAGACCTCGTGAGCAGGGGTAGGGAAGGAGGAAGAGGCGGACTCCTTGCTGAGCAAGGAGGTCCAATGCAGGGCTGGAACCCAGTACCCCAGGATCATGACCTGAGCTGAAGGCAGCTGCTTAACAGACTGAGCCACCCAGGCACCCCCCACTATCCTGACTTCTAACATTATAAATGAATTTTGCCTATTTTTAGAACTTTATAAATGCGAAATTGTATAGTTCAGTACAACCTTTTTTAACAAAAGATAATTGCAGGAGAGTCTCCTTATATTTCACATATAATTCCTAGACCGTCAGAACCATCTGTAGGTGTTTTGAGATGCATGCAAATATCATTAAAGAGGATGTGTGTATCTGGTGCTGTTGGTGAGAATGGAGGTATCAGAGCTTCATACTGAGTGTGAGTCATAACTGCGTGTTATGTTCTTGCTGAAATGCGTTTTCATAGTGCACTTAACGTATAGCTCTTGTGTAGTACAAAATAAGTCTTTAAAAAGTTGCAGAAGTATTGAAGAAATTGTGGGGAAAGACACAAAGCAAGTGAGAAACATGAATTCAGTAAAAGAGACAATGAAAATACTAAAGCTAAAGATACGTGTACAATAACTAACCCTTGTGAACTCTGGTTCTGTGCTGGAAGGAGCCGTTAGGCTATTTGGAGGCTTGGAATTGATGTATAATGCCGTGGAGTTCTTTGCTTTAACATGATGGGAAAATAGGTAATTTTAATAATGTAGTCTAAGAATGTCTGATATTCAGGAATGGGTTATTGATATTAAGTGGGAGATCCTTGTTTTGAAAACTTTCCTTGAAGATCTGTGGAGTGATTGAAGAAAGAATTGGGTCCTGTTTGACTACTAGAAGGGAAGACCCCAGACTTCTTCACAGACTTGAGTTTTCCCATACATAAGATGAGATTTAGTGTTGGCTGGTTTCAGTCTCTGTATGTGTTGAAATCTTATGGTACATATGTAAGGCTTTTAGGACTGGGTTGATTGGGTAAGAATGTAATTGGGGTCTTATATTGTAAGGCCTAAAATTTCATATGCTTATTTGATATCTTTATCAGGGCTCCAAAGGCCTAATCATGAGTTCCCCTGCTCTTGCCAGATGTGCTCCCCATCCAGCAAAAAGACTCCCACCTGGCTAGTTTTCCTTTCAGGAAGATGACCTAAACCCCTCCTGGTCCTCACTCTAAAGGGTTTCACCTCCTTGCTGGACCACAAAATTATTCAAACAAAGCAGTCACATCCTCCTGCGGGAATTAGGGCCACCTTACCCTCTTTTTACTACAAAGCCTGCCTCCCACAGACCCTGCTTGTTCACTCCATTCCTGAGTGCAACCCCTGTGTGGCCCTGCATGACGTGTGGTGTTCTCCTCCCCTGGGCTGTGAGTATACATGTCTAATAATGCTGTCAATCTCATCTGTCCAGTGTCAGGAATTGAGCCACCTCATACTGTTTAGGCCAAGGGATCTCTCCCTCACCAGTGGGCTGATTAGGAGGTAATCAGAACAGCACTGCAAAGAGAGAGATCGAGAATCATCTCCAGCAAACCCTGAGAGAATAGTACCAGGAGCAAAGTGCACTGTGTAATTTTACAAGATGTATGGGTTTACAGCAAGGTGTCTCAACCTTGGAACTATTAATATTTTGAGCCAGAGAATCTTTTATTGTGGGGACTTGTCTTCTGCATTGCAGAATATCTAACAGTGTCCCTGACCTTTACAAATTAGATGCCTGTAACACCCGCACCTCCTCCCCCCAGGTGGTGACAACCAAAATTGTCTCCAGACATGGCCAGATGTCTTCTGCAGAGTAAAAGCACTCCTTGTTGAAAACCACTGGTCCAAAGTGACATCATCATGGTTGAGTATCCTCTAACTCAGGAATGAGGAAGAGTGTTCAGTGAGGGATAATGGATGATAAAGACTAAGAAGGTCATCCAGATGCACACGTAATAGATAATGTAGGCTGTGAGAGCTGAGGAAGATGTTTGAAATTGAGCTGAATTAAAATATCTAAATAGGAAAAGAAAAAAGACTGCATCTAAAATATTCAAAGCATGGACTATCATGTAGCAATTTCTATAAAGTTGACTAAAAAAATGGTCCTTCTAGAGGAAATGTTTGTAAGAAAATATGACTTTATGATGAGCTTGAGTCTGTTTTCTTAGAAGAGCTGTTGTAGTACATTTGGGAGAAGTTCTTATCAATATTTTTTCACGATCATTTAAGGGAAAAGAAGGTGGAAGACGTTTCCCATGAATTTGTGGTAGAGAAGCAGAGCTTGTAGGAGGCTTGTGTGTAGTGTTTCATTTAATTGGGACTTTTTGATTATTTTATTCATTTCCAGATATTTCTGGGTAAAAAATTAATCTTATCTGTAGCCACAGAACTATTCAAGACATGTAGAACTCTCCTTCAATGATACTAATTTTCTTTTTTTATTTTAATATTTTATTTATTTATTTGACAGAGAGGTCACAAGTAGGCAGAGAGGCAGACAGATAGAGGGGGGAAGCAGGCTCCCTGCTGAGCAGAGAACCCGATGTGGGGCTCGATCCCAGGATCCTGGGATCATGACCTGCGCCGAAGGCAGAAGCTTTAACCCACTGAGCCGCCCAGGTGCCCCAATGATACTAATTTTCTTACTGCCACTGATACATAAGCCCTACCTCATTTGCTTGTTATGTGAACCCTTCTCTGCATTGCAGTCCTTGATCTCCCCCCTTTTCATTTAAAAAATATTTCATTTATTTTCACAGGTAATACATGAGTCTTATTTTTTCAGGGTTCAGTGACATTCAGGGACGTGGCCATAGACTTCTCACAGGAAGAATGGGAATTCCTGGACTCAGCTCAGAGGGACTTATATAGGGATGTGATGTGGGAGAATTACAGCAATTTCATCTCACTAGGTAAGGCTATTTATCCCAAACTATGTTGGCTTTCTCTGCTGTCAACTTCAGGACTATGTTTTGAAAAACTAGATAAATTTTTTCTCTCTGTTCCAAAGGAATGGTTTTAGCTTCATTAGGTTGGAAAAAGGCTCCTCCGTTTAATGCGTCATCACTTTCTTCTAGCTCTGTCCTTCACATTTTTTTTTAAAGCAATTTTTTTTTTAAAGATTTTATTCATTTGACAGAGAGAGATCACAAGTTGTTAGAGAGGCAGAGAGAGAGGGAGAAGCAGGCTCCCTGCCGAGCAGAGAGCCCGATGTGGGGCTCAATCCCAGGACCCTGAGACCATGACCTGAGCCAAAGGCAGAGGTTTAAACCCCTTGAGCCACCCAGGCACCCCTGTCCTTCACATTTTCTTCAGACTCTGTAATTTACCTGTTTCACTGCTATCCAAGGGCTGGGCTTCAATTCTGGCTTGAATTCTACCATTGGAGGCATTGTCCAAGAAATCAGATTTTACCTTATATTTGAGTCCAGAATTGATGCAAATACTTAACACTCCATTCTAATCCACCTACAAGGAAAGTACCTAAACACAGGGGCTTTGAGTGTCTCTAAAAATCAGGGGAACCTATAGAACTTACAAAGTATGAAATGGATCCACAAAGTTCATTTAAAACTCAAGCAAACACATTCTGTTTCCTATAACAACCATATTTAGTTTTTCCTGCTTTGTGGTTGAAATTTAAAATCTAAGAACTTTGCATTTAACATTGAGTAAATAATCCTAGAAAGGATCAGAAGATGTCTCAGTTAAGACACTATCTTGTCAGCAAATGGATAACAATAAAAATAGCTAACACATATATAGGTGTGTATATATATATATATGTAAATATATATAGCTTCATATATTTGTACTTAGATACTATTCTGAGCATTGTGTGTTATTAATTCTCACAACTCTGTAAGAAATATACTATGATTATCCTCATTTCAGATGAGAAAACTTAGGGATAAGAGGTTAATAATTGGCTGAGGTAACACAGCAACAAAGGTAGGATTTAAACTCAGGCAGTCTGGATCCAGACTGTGTTCCCAACCACTACACAAGACTGCCTCTCAATGGAGCTTGTATGGGTTTAAATTATATTAAGTCCTGTTCTTAACCATCAATTCCTTGTGCTCCTGAAGTTACCCTAATATGAGTGCTCTTCAGCTCCCTTGCATTTATTTGCTCTTAGGCTTTATAAAGTACCATTTCGATCTGTAGTTAATTATGAACTTAACCAAATTTGAACCTGGCTTTTGGAGTTATAATTTCATGTCACATTATCTTTTAAGCAGAACCTTCCATTTCTAAACCAGATGTGATTACTTTATTGGATGAAGGGAAGGAGCCCTGGATGGTTGTAAGGGAAGGGACCAGAAGACACTACTCTGGTGAGTGAGGGCTGAGCAAGATGGGGAATTAATTACTGGAGGTAATCAGCCAAGCCTGTTAGCCTTGAGATGTTGGAAATCTCTCCTCAAAAGCCCATGGCCTTTGGAGGAAAGGGTTGAGACCTGGGCAGCAAATTAAAATCTTTTAAATCTGACCACCAAAGGAACTTCATGTTCACCTTGATTACAACTCTCTGGTTTTCTTAGTACTCATATTTTTCTCCTACTTCAGAGAGAGGAGCTTTTCTCAGTAGGAGAAAAACAGTTGATAATAAACATAAGAACTGAAATCAACAAGATAAGAAAAGTAGAGAAAATTAATAAAGCCAAAAGTTGATTTCTGGAAAAGATGCAAGTTGATGAACACCTATGGGGCGCCTGGGTGGCTCAGTGGGTTAAAGCCTCTGCCCTTGGCTTAGGTCGTGATCCCAGGGTCCTGGGATCAAGCCCCGTATTGGGCTCTCTGCTCAGCCGGGGAGCCTGCTTCTTCCTCTCGCTCTCTTCCTGCCTCCCTCTCTGCCTACTTGTGATCTCTGTCTGTCAAATAAAAAAAAAAAAAATTTAAAAAAACATTATTTTGACAGATATAAGGTTACTCATATTTTCTTTTCTTTCTTTTTTTTTTTTTTTTACCTTGTATTGGTTCTGATAATTGTGTTTTTCAAGGAGTTTTTCCATTTTGTGTAAGATGTTGAATTTATTGGCATAAAATTGCTCATGGTATTCTCTCATTATTCTTTTAATGGCTATAGGGTGTGAAGTGATAACCCAGTTACTCTTTCATTCCTAGTATTAGCAATTGTTGTCTTTTTTTTTCCTTGATGAATCAAGCTAGGTGTTCATCAACTTTTTTTTTAATTTTTTTTTTTTTTAAGATTTTATTTATTTATTTGACAGACAGAGATCACAAGTAGGCAGAGGCAGGCAGAGAGAGAGAGGAAGCAGGCTCCCTGCTGAGCAGAGAGCCTGATGCGGGGCTCGATCCCAGGACACTGGGATCATGACCTGAGCTGAAGGCAGAAGCTTTAACCCACTGAGCCACCCAGGCGCCCCAAGAGTGCATTATTTTATAAAGTAGTGGGAATTGACATCTTTTTCTGTGTTTATATTTTCAAAATATCTTATAAGCCTGGCTTATTCTAAAATATAATTTAGGTACATTAAAATTCATTCTTTTTAGTATCTAGGAATTTTGACAAATGCATAGTTATGTAACCACCACCATAATCGAGTTTAGAATAGTTTCAAAGTCTCATGTTTTATAGTGATGAGGTTTTTTGAGTCATTTTAGCAGCTTTGTACATTTGTACTGTAGTCATAGAAAAAACCTTTCTTATCACTCCTGTCCCACTGTCCCCCTATCTTTGCTTACTTCATTCAACATTTAGATTTTCTCATTCATGTCCCCCATCTGGATCATTATCTTTGACCCTATATCTAACATAGCCTTTATTTTTCCTCTTTTGCACTCAGGTGATCCCAGGTACCATTCCATATTTGACTGTCATTCTGCTATCCTCAGTATCTGCCCATGTCTTTTTGCTAAGGATTTCATAAACCTTTCAATGTTAGGATAATTGAAAGATATTTGAGGTAGTTTTCTGGGACGTACAAACATTGCTTTAGCTATATGGAATGGGAGGGAACACCTAGAAGAGGTATGAAGGAACAAAAATTTGAATAAATGTAGCACTGGTAAGTAATAGTATAAACTCTAGAGGAGAAAAGTAAATCATTGTAGTACTTTTTTTTTTTTTTTAGTTAAACTCTGTTCCCAATGTGGAGCTCAAATTCAGAACCCCAAGATCAAGAGTTGCATGCTCCACTGACTGAGCCAGCCAGGCACCCCTATTGTAGTGCATTTTAAAAAGAATAGAAACATGTACATATTCATTAGTGATGACGTAATTATGGGAATTAAATGAGTAACATCCATTGTGTATTTGGGGTTTGTTATTTAATGGTAAATGGACTTTAGAGTTTGTTTCTGCCACTAGGGAAGCTTAGGGGTAAGAAACTAACAGAATAACAAGTGAGAAAATTAATAAGTATTCCAAAATTGGGACAAAAAAGAAGCAACCAGTTGCTGGGATAGAATATACAGTGCATAGTTTTATGTTTTATTAAAGATTTTATTTATTTGATAGACAGAGATCACAAGCAGGCAGGGAGGGAGGAGGAAGCAGGCTCCCTGCTAAGCAGAGAGCCCGATGTGGGGCTTGATCCCAGGACCCTGGATTCATGACCTGAGCTGAAGGAAGAGGCTTTAACCCACCGAGCCACCCAGGGGCCCCTATGGTGCCTAGTTTTAAACAGGATCAGCAGGAATGGCTTTTGGAAGAAGTGATTTTTGATTGAGATCTGATGGTGAAGGGAAGCCAGCCATGCAGGCGGAGGATTTCTCAAAGAAGGAACAACCTGTGAAGGGTCCTATTTAATGGGAACAGTGCTAGTGCCTTTTGTGAGCTGAAAAGAGGCCTTTGTGGCATGAACGGAGAGAGTAAATGAGAGAGGCACTGATAAGCAGATACCAGCTTATTATCTATATTCAGGTATTTATATTTGATTCTAATTATAAAGAGAAATCATTAAAAACATTTAAGTGGAGGGCACCTGGGTGGCTCAGTGGTTTAAAGCCTCTGCCTTCAGCTCAGGTCATGATCCCAGGGTCCTGGGATCGAACCCTGCATCGGGCTCTCTGCTTAGCAGGGAGCCTGCTTCCTCCCCTCTTTCTCTCTGCCTGCCTCTCTGCCTACTTGTGATCTCTGTCTCTCAAATAAATAAAATCTTTAAAAAAAAAAAACAACATTTAAGTGGAGAGGCTAAAATATTGATTAGCATCAGAATCATTTGCCGGAGAATGTATATAAGTACAAAACAAAAACACGCCCAGGACTTAATCCTATAGATTATGTTTCAGTCGGTTAAAAATACTTCTGTATATTTTTAAGAAACTTTCAGATGATTCTCATCACTGATTTGTTTCTGTAATCACCAACCTTATCTCCAGTCCTGTACTACATTCTCTGTTTCCTTTGCTTTTTTTTTTTAAAGATTCTATTTATTTATTTGACAGACAGAGATCACAAGTAGGCAGAGAGGCAGGCAGCGAGAGAGAGAGAGAGAGAGAGAGAGAGAGGAGGAAGCAGCCTCCTGCTGAGCAGAGAGCCCAATGTGGAGGTCGATCCCAGGACCTTGGGATCATGACCTGAGCTGAAGGCAGAGGCTTTAACCCATTGAGCCACCCAGGCGTCCCTCCTTTGCTTTTTTTTTTAAATGTGTAAAGAGTAGTCTGTTCCTTAATTAATAACCTGCAATACAAAAATAAAAATAAGCTCAATAGTGATAGGGAATAGGGAATGATAGCAATATTAATGTGTGAGTTATTTGGTACAGAGTACAGGTCATTTTCCTATTGGAATGAAGCCAGAATAGAAGTAAACTTAAAACATTCATCAGGAAAGGCTAAGTGTCCAACTTGATGCTTTATTGTCGGTTGCCCTTTCACTTCTATATGAAAAAAATGAATAATAAGTTTCTGCATCCAAGACTGTCTCCCAGAGGCAGATACCGTCAACCTCGCATGGCTTCTAGCTGGAGACAGGTTACATATTACCCTGTTCCTATCTTAGGAATGGTAGCCTTGCTGGCTCAGGGCTTTTTTTTTTTATCATCAGAGTGTCTCAGCACCTGAAATTTAGCATTTCCACTTTTTTGTGTGTGAATTTTAGTATCTGTGAAGTGGCCTTCAGCTGGCCTTTTGACTCATCTCTTGAAATATCAATTGTTATATTTGTTAAGGCTCTGCCAATAAAGTTGCATAAGGTTTGAGTGGTCTTCTCCAGCCCTGTTTTCTTCATAAACTCTTAGTTTTTTGGTGTGTAATTTTGCAGAAGATAAGGGGTTTTTTAGGTTCAGCAGAAATGCCCATTTTAGAGATATCTAATCCATTTACTTGTAAGAGACATTATTTTAGGTGCCTTTTATTTCTCTATAGAAGTTTTCTTCTGTCACAGGAATATAGTGTGTGTTTGCCTTCTGTTTTCTTTCAGATTTGGAGTCCAGATACAGGACCAATACTTTATCTCCAGAAAAGGACATTTATGAAATATATTCATTCCAGTGGGAGATAATGGAAAGAATTAAAAGCTATAGTCTTCAGGACTCCATTTTTAGAAATGATTGGGAATGCAAAGGCAAGAGCGAGGAGCAAAAGGAATCACAAGGGGGATATTTTGGGCAAGTGAAAATTACTTCTGAAAAAATGACCACTTACAAAAAGCATAATTTTCTTGCTGAATATCAGAGAGTTCATAATGGAGAAAAGTTATATGAATGTAAGGAATGTAGGAAGACCTTTATTCGTCGCTCAACACTTAGTCAACACCTGAGAATTCATACTGGTGAGAAACCTTATAAATGTAAGGAATGTGGGCAGGCATTTAGACAGCGAGCACACCTTATTCGACATCACAAGCTTCATACTGGTGAGAAGCCCTATGAATGTAAGGAATGTGGGAAGGCCTTTACCGTGCTCCAAGAACTTACTCAACATCAGAGACTTCATACTGGTGAAAAGCCCTATGAATGTAAGGAATGTGGAAAGGCCTTCAGAGTCCATCAGCAACTTGCTCGACATCAGAGAATTCACACTGGTGAGAAACCCTATGAATGTAAGGCATGTGGGAAGACCTTTAGGCAGTGTACACACCTTACTCGACATCAGAGACTTCATACTGCTGAGAAACTCTATGAATGTAAGGAATGTGGGAAGGCCTTTGTATGTGGTCCCGACCTTAGAGTACATCAGAAAATTCATTTTGGTGAGAAACCTTATGAATGTAAGGAATGTGGAAAGGCTTTTAGAATATGCCAACAACTTACGGTCCATCAGAGTATTCATACTGGTGAGAAACCCTATGAATGTAAGGAATGTGGGAAGACTTTTAGACTAAGGCAACAACTTGTTCGCCATCAGAGAATCCATACTCGTGAGAAACCCTATGAATGTATGGAATGCTGGAAGACCTTTAGTAGTTACTCACAACTTATTTCACATCAGAGCATTCATATTGGTGAAAGACCTTATGAATGTGAAGAATGTGGGAAGGCCTTTAGGTTGCTCTCACAACTTACCCAGCATCAGAGTATTCATACTGGTGAGAAACCTTATGAATGTAAGGAATGTAGGAAACCTTTTAGACTGCTCTCACAACTTACTCAGCATCAGAGTATTCATACTGGTGAGAAACCTTATGAATGTAAGGAATGTGGTAAGGCCTTTAGACTTTATTCATTCCTTACTCAACACCAGAGAATTCATACTGGGGAGAAACCCTACAAATGTAAAGAATGTAAGAAGGCCTTTAGACAACATTCACATCTTACTCAACATCAGAAAATTCATAATGGAGTGTAATACAAGAAAGCTTTCAATTATACATTATGTTATAGGATCTCTAAATCATTTTTGAGAATTCTGCTTCATGATTCAGCTAAGCATAAGAAATTTTATATTACTGAAAAAAAATATGTTGCTTTAAAAGCCTTCTATCACCAAACATTGTTTATCTTCCACAAATTGGTATGAGGGAATAACACAATGAATGTAGGAAAATCTTCAGCCTTATCTATCATTATCCCCATTTCACTCCTTTATTACCAGTGTGTTATTGGACAAGGTACTTAAACTTCTGTGCCTCATTTTGCTCACTTGTAAATGGTGATAATAGTACCTATGTATATTAGTTATTTATTGCTGTGTAATAAATTGCCACAAACTTAGTAGCTTAAAATAATACACATTATCTCACAATTTCTATGGGTCAGGTGTCTGGGCATAACTTTGGTGGGTCCTCTGCTTCATGGTCTCTCAAAAAGCTAAACTAAAGGTTTTAGCTGGGGTGGGGTCTCATCTGAAGGCTCAACAGGGGAAGGGATCCATTTCCAATCTCACATGGCTGTTGGTTTCTAGCTGGCTGAAGGCTGACCTTAGTTCCTTGCCACATGGGCTTCTTCAACATGGCTGCTTATTAAGTGTGCAAGCTAAGAGTGCAGTAGTCTACTAGCATCATAGAAGCAGTAATCTTATGTGACCTAATCACCAAAATAATACCTTTTAATCACCTTTGCTGTCTTCTACGGGTTAGAAGTAAGTTACTGTGTCACCCCACATTCAAAGGTAGAGGATTACACAAGAATATGAATACCAGGCTGTAGGGACCATTTCAGAGTCAGCCTGCCACACCGTGTAATAGGATTGTCTTATGGATTAAGTAGTTAATGCTTGGAAAAATAGCAGCTACATAGCATGTTTTCTGTAAATATTACCTACAGTTGTTATCATTAGTATTAGTGAATTCATATGAAAGGAATTTACTGTAGAAGTAGAAAATGTAGAAATGCCTCACGTCATTGCTCAGCACTTACTAAACTTAAGATAATTTATTCCAGATAAAATCTAGGTTTTATTGAATGCAAAGATTTCATCATTTGAGCTGCATCTGTCATTTCATGCTGAAAAGAAACCTTACAAATTTCATGAATGTGAGGTTAAGCGTACAACTATTAAAGAATCAGAAAAATATGAAATTATTTTCCCGTAATAAATTCCAAAAAGTAAATGTTTTGGAATTCCTGTTGTGTGACCACTGTTAAAGATTAATTAGAAACATCAAAAAGATGGCAGAAACTAACCAGTTGGAAATTTAATATTGTGTGTATATGTGCACCTATGTGTGTATGTTTGTATGTAAAAGTCATATGAAAGAAAGATCATTCCATTACAGGCAGTATATGGTTTGATGCTCAAATTGCCCCATCATCAACCAGTGGGAGTTGAGTCATTTGCCATGACCCCACTTGTAGTTTGATAGTTTACTTGGTTACAGCTGCACTGTTTGGTCAGCAATCGAAGATGCTTGGGCACCAACTCATTCTGAAAATTGATAAGGGGGAAAATAAGCATTTCTTTTGCTTTTTCCATGTGAACCAACTTTCAGGGCCACCAAAAGCTCCTCAAATTAAAATGATTTTTTTTGTTTCATTTGTAAGAAATCAGTAAATACAGAAAGAATGATAGGATCAGAAAAATTACTATTTTCTAGTTCCCTAATGGAATAATGGGTCCAGAAAATTATCTTTGGTAGATATTAAAACTATTGGGTGAAATATTTTATAGTGAGAACTTTGCAGTGGATTTATCAAGCTGACCACCTCTGAATCCTTTGATCAATTTTAACCTCTATAAAAGTGGGACTATCAGATAATATCCACATCCTGATAAAATGCAATAGGAAATACCACTGCCTACGAAGGCTTACTGCCAAAACAGTGAACTGAAGGAAGCAAACCTTTGAATCAAACTCTTTAAAAATGAGAATTGGGGGGATAGAGGAACAGAGTTAATGGCACCAAAAGGAAGTAGCCAAGCAGATCCAGAATGTGTAAAATTCTACAAAACAAGTGACCCTGATTTCTTCAACTAATGAGTGGCATGAAAAAGAAAAGGGGAAGAGCAACAGTTACAGATTGAGAGACTTCAGAGATCGATCAACTAAATTCAGCATGTGGGCATTGCTTGGCCCTAATTTGAACAACATGTACAAAGACATTTTGGAGACAGTGGGGAAAATGTGAATGTGCATTGAATATTAGTTGATATTTAGAAATACTAATTCTGTTAGGGATGATAATATCAATGTGGTTAAAAGAGAAGAGGTTCTATGTGTTAGAGATACATATACATTTAAGAAATGGTAAGACACCAGATTTGCATTTGAATACTCCAGGAAAAGAAAAAAGAATTGGCAAAGGGAGCTGAGAAATAGATTGGCAAAATGTTGATAATTATTGAAGCAGAGTATTGGTTTTTTTTGTTTTGTTTTTTGTTTTGGGGGGAGTTCATTGTTCTAGTATTTCTACTTTACGTGTTTGAAAGTTTCAGTAATAAAATGTTTAAGATCAAGACTGAAATTTATAGACTGCTTAGAAATGATTGTTGTTAATGAGATGTGTGCATCTAAACTTGTCAGATGTCACCAAAGTTCTGTTCTGTGAGAAATTTGTCCCCTTTAATGCATTGTAAGGAAGTTTCATTTGTGGACCTAGTCTTCATCTTCACCTTATTCATAGCAGTCAACAGGGCCTGTCACATAAATACATGTATTAAGGGAGAGTGAATACTTAATGTCAAGAAACCAGATACAGAACAGAATAAAACCTACAAAAAAGAAGCAAAGCTCAACTAAAAGCAGAAATTAAGGACTAGACAGTAGTAGATTTAATCCAGTACTAATAATGATTGGATTTTGGGAAATCTAATCAAGAAGAAAATGAAAGATAATGCATTTAGAACATTGACCATGATAAAGATGATTTAGCTACAGATTATTAAGTTTTAATTGCAATGCAATACTATATATCAATATCTATATAGATACATATATGCTATATGTATTCCAATACCTAAAATATAGGGGGTTACTTTTTTTTTCTGTAGGAATAGTTTATGACAATGACTTAAATAGACCCAACAAGCAAATGTGTGTGTGTATATGAACTCCCTGCTTAAGAAAAAGTTTGATAGTTGTGCAGGTAAAAGCTTTAAGAAATAGATAATCCTTCACAAAATTCTACCAGTTAATTCTGCACAGCTAAAATAATCCTGATACAAACCTAAGTGAAGATAGCTCCTACAAAGCAAAATCTAGACCAGCTTCATTTATGAAGATTCATCTTAATTCTAAATAAGATATATTTAGAATTACAAAATCAGTCTTCACTAATAGATCCATGTGTTTGCCTTTCCCAAGTCTCAGATATCTCCAGAAGAGCTGTGTTTAACAGAGTGTAAGGCCTTAACCCAATGTTCTCCACAAACTTGTTTTGGGGTATTCTAGTCCTTGATGATATTTGGGGGAAACAAAGATTTCTCGAGGAAATGTGTAAACGCAGCAAAGCATTTGGTTGTAGGAAAATCCAAGTACACATCATCAGCTTGTCAAAAGATACAGTAAAGAGATTTTTTTTTAAAGATTTTATTTATTTATTTGACAGACAGAGATCACAAGCAGGCAGAGAGGCAGGGGAAGCAGGCTCCCCGCTGAGCACAGGGCCGATCCCAGGACCCTGAGACCATGACCTGAGCCGAAGGCAGAGGCTTTAACCCACTGAGCCACCCAGGCACCTCAGTAAAGAGATTTTTATTTAACACAGTGTATCTCGAACTTACTTCATTGTGGAATTCTCATACCCAGTATCTCTTACCATCTTTAGAATGTGAACCACTTTGATAGATGCTTCCATTACCACAATGGAGGTCTTCAAGAACATCATTTCAGACATTATGGTGAGATTGCTAGCATTGGGGTGAGGAAAGGGCATTTTTCTTCGAAGCTCACGTCATATTCTGAAAGCTTCCTGCTTGGATCTTGAGGGTTAGTGCTTTTCTATAGAATGTGAAAGATTCTAGTTTGGTCCTTGATATGTACATATTAAACATGCTTAAATATTCTGTTAAATAGTAATTAGGACATAAACGATTTTTCACTGTAATAAAAATGCTATATTGAAATTATTTTGTGTATTTTCTGATTTATTTGAAGACTCTAAGGTGCATATCTAGAAGTCTCTACATACTCTGCTTTACATGTTGCCAGATGGTTGCTCCATCATTGCACCAATTTTGAATCCCTCTAATCCCCAAAATGAGCATCCAGATTTTCCTGCTTCTGTTATTAATTTCAATATTTCCCTGATTATAAGTAACTAGAACATCTTTTTCATATGTGTTTATTGGCCAGTCATGTTTCTCTTAGTGCTTTTTTTATTCATGTATTTTCTCTGTTTTTGGGGGGGTATCTCATTGGTTGGTCATGATTTGTAAAATATTCCAGGTACTACACATTTATAAATATTGGTTATTTTTTCTCAAGGTGACAAGTTATAACTAAGTTAGGGCATTTATTGTTTTGCTAACATTTTAAATTTAGATATAGTTGTCTTTTTTTTTTTTAAACCTTACAGATAATCTTACTCTTTTTATTTCTAGTGTTAACTTTTCTGCCATGTGGTCATGGCATTTCCAAGTAGAAAAAGGTTCCCTCAATATTTATATTTTATATACATTTCTCATAGCAGTAGCTGGTATTATCAGAATAAGGTTGAGTATTGGTGGGGATACATTCTCTCATTTTTTCCATTTTGATGGAAATCATGTATCTATTTAAACATTTAGTGTAATGCCTCTTGATTTAAATAGTCTTTGTTATACATAACCATTTTCATTCCGTCCCTGTTTTTCTTAATGCCTGCTAGATTTTTGTCAGAAGTCATTTTGTCGTACACTGGTGTGAACATCATGTTTTTCCCCTATTTAATTTGCTGATGTGATGAATAATACAAATCTTTTGTCAAATTCAGGGGTTCCTCTGACCACTCTTAAGTTTCCGTAATTCAGTAGAATAGTAGAACAACTCCCAACTCAGGAAAACAGTGCACCGGTGATTATTTTTACAGCAAAAAGATACAAATTAGAATCAGCTCAAGAAGAGATGCATAGGGCAAACTGTGGGAGGGATCAAAATGTGGAGCTTCCAGTCATCCTCTACCCATGGAGTCAGGAATGTTGATACCTTTTCTTGGTTTTGACAGGATAATTCCCGCAGGAAGCTTGTCTGAGGCTTTGGTTGCCAGAGTTATTCCTGGGGCTCAATTACATTCTTCCGATGAGGC